CCTTCCCTAAGGTCTCCATCAGGTTCCTTCCCTCTGTTCCCCAGGGCCACCTGAGAGCAGCAGGGGCACTGAGACTCCAGCCTGCGGCCTCTCTTCTCCTTCCTGGTTTAAGGCAGCTCCCTGGGAGACAGCCACGTCACCGCAGGGCTTTCGACCTCCAGGCTCTCAGATCATCACCGTTCCTGATTTCTGGGTGGTGGTCATCCTGAGTGTTGTCTTCAGTGCAGGAGGGAGGGCGGCAGTTCTACTCACATTTACGTGTGGGGTGGGCCGTGTGAAGGCAGGCCGGCTGCCGGGTCACCCTGGCCTGGGGGCCCATCCTCCTGTACCTGCTCCTGCCGGGGCCAGAGAGCAGCCTGCTGCCCTCTCCCTGTCCTCTGGCCCAGGCAGCTGGAGTCTCACCTACTGGCACTTACTTTTTTCAGAAAACTCATATGGGATGCCAACTCGTGTTTTGGTTCTGTGTCACAAAGGAAAATATAACAGGAACAAATGAAACAGTTTTTCTTGAATCGTAAGCTGTGATTTCTTCATACACTAATTTACAGGATGGCTATTGAGCTCCACAAACGTTCCTGAGTGTTTACTGAATGCCATGCCCTGCACTGTGAGTGGATGGAGGCTGAGATGCCAAAGATGGGGTCCCTGTCTTCAGGGGGCTTCCATGGTAGCATCCCAGCATCATGCCCCATGGCTGGGCCAGCGTGAAAGGCTGGTAGAGAGCCACAGATGGAGCCCAGAGCTCTGGATGGGTGGTAGTGTGACTTCACCCCTCCTCCCTGCCAAGCCCCCCGTTTCTGTCATGTCTTCCTTGACTGCCTTAGGCTCAGTCGAGTCCCCTACGCTGCAGACCCAGGATTCCTGTAGCGTATGCAGCCTGGGTGTGTGAGATATGTCTCCCCGTTACCTGGTCTTCTCGGCGTCACAGCCTCACGCGGCACATCGTGTTATCTGCGCTTTAACAAATGAGACAACTGAGGTTTAGAGAACTAAGATAATTTCCCCAGGGTCACAGAATTAATCAGCAGCAGAACTGGTGTCTGCATTCACGTGATCTGATTCCCAGGCGAGAGCTACCCTTAGTATTTACTCTCTCTTGTCATAACCCCGAGCAGCCCCTCTTCTAGTTCAGGTCAGCACTAGGTACCCCCTCTCTGGTTGCAGTTACCTGGTGTCTCCCCCTGAGGGCGGGGTCCTGGCAGCCTGATGTCTGGTCCTCTGCTAGCACCGCCCACCCAGGAGCTCAAACAGGCTTTGGGTGAAGGATGGAGAATGAACTTTGCTCCTCTCTCCTCCCTTTCTCACCCCTGAGTCACCTGGAGGCAGTGGAAGCAAATAGCTCTTATGAGCCAGGTAATTGTGAGGCTCAGTCTGTCTAATTATAGCTCAGTTAGTCTTCCAGACAATGGATTAAAACAAAACAGCATCTGGGGTCTTTCAGCTGTTTCTCTGTGGGTCAGCATATCCTAACTTGACACATACCCAGGCCTGCAGAACGTACTGATCAGGGCCTGAAGCAATAATGGTTTTTACTTTTCTTTCCCTTGGGGGAGATTTACTACTTGTGCCCCAAAGAGAAACATCTGTGTGCTTTGAGTTTTAAAGGGTATCCGTGTACCATAGCATCCAAATCAGATACTTTGGGGGATTAAGTGGTGCTCTGTTGACCATTACACCAGGACAGTGACCTAAACTGGAAGATCTGGTCGCCTAGTTTTACAGGAAATGTGTCTGCAATTGGAAGGAAAGCTATGGGGCGATTGTTGATGAAGACTTCTAGGGAGTGGGGGGTTGCTGGGAGACGAAGGGGCTTTGTTTCCAGTGGCATCTATGCATTATTGGGTGACAGCAAGAATAATCCAGCACCCTTTTCTGCAGATTCCACTTCATTTTCTAACAGTGGCTGAGCCTCCCAGGATGAGTGTCTGTCTCATTGTTGTCCTTTTCTTTCCTCCAGAGATCCTGCGGATAATTCAGCTGGACCTAGACCTAAAGTATAAGACCAACATCCGGGAATTGTTTGAGGAGTTTGACAACTTCCTGCCAGGCGCCGTCATCGGCATCGCGAGGGAGATGCAGCCCGTGTACAGGTATGTGGCGGCTGCAGGCGGGCGGCCTCTAGGACCCCCTCCCCCCTTACCACTCTCCCCCACCACCCTCGTTACATTGAGAGTTATTGCTCTGCAGCCTTTCTGCCCTGAGTGTCTCAGGGACACATCTGTACTAGTTGCTTACAGTTAAGAGTATGGGCAGGTGGGTCTGCACCGAAACTGTAGGTGCTACCTCATTCATTTGGGGGAGTTTGTGACATTTTTTCTTGTGGAAAGCTCCGCCACTTGGGTTGTTGGTTCTGGTTCGGCTCAGAATTTTAAAATCTTGGGCTTTGTCTTACAGAGGAGGTGTCAAGGTATAGCTTTATATGGCTAGTCTGGTGATGAGCTAGGTTTCTTGGCGCTTGAGTCACCAGCGACCCCTTCTCTATGTAAGTGGAGTGCATTTATGAGTGTCTTTCAGGGAGGGGGAGGCAGCACAGCTTTGGAACACAGATTGGCATCACCTAGTTGAGCGAGGAGCGCATTCTAGGGCTGCTGTGTGGCCTTGTCAGGTGTGCATCGTGGAGAAACTCCGGCGCCTGAGAACCAGGAGATGCGTTCGAGAGTATTCATTATGGCATTGTTTGTAGTAGCCCAAACTGAAACAGCTTCAGTGCTCACAGACAGCAGAATGGATAAATAAGATGTATTTATCCAGCTGAGTACTATATAAAGTTAAAAATGTACAGACACTGGCTTCATGCACTGATGGGCAAAACTGAACTGTACTCTTCAGGAATGTATACACAAGTGGTTAAAAAATACAAGACAACTAAGGAAATGATGATTCCCAAATGCCAACATGACAGCTCACTCTGCCGCGGGTGGAGTGGTGGTGGGAGGCGGACGTGGCTGGGGGTTGCCTCTGGAGGCTGCAGTGCTTTCATGCTCGGCTTGAGTGGCTGTACATGTGTGTGTGCTCCTTTGTGTGTAATAGATGTCTGACAATTTAAAAAAATTAAAAAGGAAAGGAAGAGCAGAAGCACCTGCCGGGTTTTGTGACTCTGGTCGTGGAGAGTTTCACGTTGCTGACTCTCCTCCTCTGGGCAGAGCCATAGCTCACCCAGAGCCTGGAGCTGGCCCGCTCTTTGTTCTCCACACAGACCCTCATGCTGGCTCCCTGTGGGCATTCTTGGAGCTAAGCCCGGTCTTTGGAGAGTTGCAGGGCACAGGCAACTAGCGACTCAAGAGCGTGCATTTCCCCTAAGAGAGAGGAGACTGACAGCCTCAGCTTGGTTGTAGTTATTTGGAAGTCCCAGATCACATAACAGGAAATTCCTGCAAGGCCTCTGAACGAGTTGATAGCTCCTGGGCCTTGTGGGCTGTTCTCCCTCACATAATCCTCTCACTAGTTGCCCTAGATCACAGAGTAGAGCCCCTTGCCCTGCCATAGAGGGGAGGGGGGAGGTTTGGGCAAACACCTGCCGCTGTACTCACAGCAGCCTCCCCGCCTCGTTCCCTTACCTTCATGCAAGGTGTCTTATGTCTGGGGTTCCTGATTTAACAAAGGGAGGAGACGGAAGGAGCACCGAGCTGAGAGTCTGAAGCCCTATGTGCAGATCCCAGCTTGGCCACCTCATGGAGCCTGGGCTCCCCAAGGTGAGAATGGGAGCAGCCGGGCTCTGAGACCTCCCTCCTCCAGCGCTGGCATTTGTGATCCCAGCGTTTCTGCATCCTCTTTCCTCATCCTGAGGCTGCCTGTTAGCTGGTGAGTTCCTCACTGCTCCGTGGGGCCAGTGCCCGGGGGTCTTTAAACCAGGCTTACTATTAAGTACAGTTAGAGCCCTGAGACCTTCAAGCTGTAGTCTGGAATCTTCTCGTGTAATAGAAATGGAAACTTGATCGCACTTAATTTGAATGGTATTGGCCAGAATTGATGTTTTCTGTAGGTCCTGGATCATACCAACAGTGAAACTTAAATCAGTTTAATTGGCCTTCTCAAAAGAAATCTCAGAAAGATTTTAGATGCAAAATGAAATTGAGTTTGTCTCACCTTCAGATTCTTTAGTTATCATTCTGTACTGTGAGAAAGGTGAGACTCTTGTGGCAGGGCTGCTGGCAGGTCCCCCAAATCTTGCTTGTGCCCTCAGAATCAACAGAAATTAAAAGGCCTTTAAGTGTTCTTCCCCCTTCCCTTCCTCTCCAGCTGAAATATTTCTAAAGGCCTCTAATAATTAAGTCTGTAAATGACGCCCTGCGCTCATCTGCGTCCCACCGGCTCTGGTGATTGCCTTTGAATATTTGCCATCTGTCTGGGCTGGGGCTGGGAACACACAGTGTGGTGCTGGCTGGGGCACACAAGAATGGACTGGGTTTTTTGCCATCTTCCACAAGAAAACCGGAGACTCCAGTGGCCCAAGAGATTGAATGTTAGTTGTCTGCCAGTTTGGAGCCTGTGCCGGGGTGTGCATGTGTTTGTGGGGAGGGGTGGGAGGAGCAGAAGAGGGAGTGAAGGCGGGGGAGTGAGGAAACAGGGCCTGAGCAGGGGCAGGCACAGTCAGCTGTCTGGTGAACAGTCCCAGCCCCATCTCCGAGGACTTGGCCATCGTAGCTTGGGCACCCCATGGCCATCTGGCCACCTCTGTGGGCACTTGCGCCTCCCTGAGTGCTCCCCGAGCACGTGGCCTCGGGACCCAACCACCACGTGGTCTCCCAGAGTGTGGACAGTGAGCCAGGCAAGGTATTTATCATCAGCGGAATCTGCTAGCATCTGTGAAAAGAAAGGAAAATTTGGAAACAAAACAGCACAAAAGCAAAACTTGAGTGATTAACGGAGCACATTTTGATCTGGAGATTCACTAAGCAGGAATAAATTTGGACCTCCTCAGCTGTGTTATTTTTATAGCCACTTGTCTAACAGTTACTGTACCTCAAAAAAGTCATGTATTAAGTCATTTTTATGGCTGTTTTCCTTTGATTGTGTGCCATGAGTGTTAGAAGCTTGAGGGTTTGGGGGAGAAAGTATTTCCCACTGTCTTTTTGATAAATAGCTTTTTTTCTTTCTTTTTTTTTTTTTAAACAATTGCCCCCCTCCAAACATAACACCAAAGCAACTGTGTTTTCGGGAGACTGATGGCTCATGGGATGCTGGGATGGTGAGAGGAGCCTTTTTCTCTTGGGTCCCTGTAATGTTCTCTTGAGTCAAAAAGCCATGACCTTCACCATCTGAGAACTGGGGAGCAGTGTTCATCTTGGGTGGAATGTTGTCCTTTCCGTCTTGACTCTATTCTCTGCCTCTTTGTCAGAGAACTAGACCACTGAACAGGTCCTCTTTGGCAATGTGGTTAGTTGAGATAGTGGCCAAACGGAGAGAAGGGTCTAGGGCTTTCCCTGTAAAAATAGAGTGCTCTCCATAAATAGCCGTATTTTGCAAATATGTGTTATTCCAGGATGCGATTTGGAATTTACTTCCTCACGTATTAGAAAAGTAAAGAAAACCGTTGGACCCACTTTGTGTACAACCTGTAAAAATTGTAAAGGTGTATCAGCAGGCAGAGCAACCATGTGCAGAACATCGCACTCGGGTTATGCTCAGAAGCCGTGGGTTTCAGTGCTACCTTTCATGAATTACCCGTGTGACAACTTGCAATTAACCCTATTCTCTGAACCTCTGTGTTTTGATTCATAAATGGGAATAAATATATCTGATGCACAGAATTACTGGAAAACGCAAATGAAGTAATGCACATGGAAGTTTCCAGTGTAAAAGAGACCCTTGGTAAAGAGCGTTTCCTCCCTCTCTGTCTCCCTGAGTTGTCACACTCCTTTTTGTGCTTTTTCTTCCAGATGATTCGTTTTTCTGTGTACCTCCTCCTCTATTCCACCCCCAGCCATGTAGGGTTACTATGTAAAATACAGGACACCCAATTAAATCGAGTTTCAGATAAACAACAAATAATTGTTTTATGCAAGTATATCCCAAATATTGCATGGGGATATACTTACACAAAACAAGCTATTTGTTGCTTATATGAAATTTAAATTTAACTGAGTATCCTGTTGATTTTTTTCCTTTTACTTTCTTGCTACTAACTATGGCATTTCTATCCCTACCCAAGAGTTAAAACCCTTCCTTTTTAGCAGAAGAGAGTGATCTGGCTTTTCTGTAAGATCCTTGAGTGAGCAGGAACAGAGGGTGTGCAGGTGAAGCTTGGGAAGGAGACAAGTGAGAGAGTGGGAGGCAGCCCTCCAAGTCTCTGTGAGGACCAGGCCTGCGGTTCACCTACCCCTCTGCAGGGCGGGGCCCATGGCTTGCGGTTCATTCTCCCTTGGCTCCGCAGGCCGGCTGTGTGCTGGTTTGAGCCCAAACCCACCGCGAGGTGGAAGCAGCAGGCTAATCCTGTCAGCTGCTAATAACACGCCACCAGGCAGGAATTTGCTTTTGTGGTGAGAATTTTAATAGTGTCCACTCTTTCACCTTTTTAGGTCACGTGGTTTTTATTGGTCACATTTGTGCCAGCCTAGCCTCTTTCCAGATGCTTGAAATGAAAATGTCCAGCTTATTTGCAGGCTCCCTTGTCCCGTTCCTGGAACCAGTGTGGGGCTCTCAGGGGTGCTGGCAAGGAAGTGGGGACTAGCACACGAGGTAGGAGTGGAGGGCGTGGACTGGCACCACCTCTGCCACTCACGGCTCTGTGAGTTTGGGCAAATATCTTGACCTCTCTGAGCTTCCGTTTCTTTAGCTGAGACCTGGAGATCATAGCACTGCATAATACTATATACTGTGGAGTGGATTGGAGGCTAAATTAGACAGTGTGCCTGGTGCAGAACAGCACTCTCTATTGTTGGTGGCAGTTCTATCCTGTCCCAGCTCAGCCACTTACTAGCTCTGTGACACTAGGGAAGTCCCTTCACCTCTGAGCTCCAGTGTCCTTATGGTATGAAAGGTTGGAGCAACTGATAACATCATTAGTGCTGATACATTTTGGCTTCTCAGCATCTGAAATCCCCTTCCTATGTTTGAGGAATTTCCTGTCATATAAGCCTGCCTCTCTTTA